GCTCTTTATAGAATTCTGTTTCTTGGTTTTGCTTTGTTTCCATATTTGAGGGTTTTTTTGTTGTTGGGGTCTTTTATTCAGGGGGGAGGGATTGGGTGTGTCTCTTTTCTTTTATCAATGCAAAATAAATCTATTTGTTCCATCCCCAAACTTCTCCCAAGTGGTTCTCTCATCACTGAAAAATTGTCAATAAAACAGCAAAACTGTTGCTGGAAAACAGCTCCAGACACTGCTGTGGGGTGTAAGAGAATCTGGTACTACTTCCATTCTGCATCAACAAGTAAATCCATTTTATTTTGCAATTAAATTAAACAACATCATTTAAGGGAGGTCACAAATATGCCTGTGCTATTCAATCCCCTCAAAGGCAAAACTTTTCCTGTGAGTCACCATTTCTTTGTGTCTTGCAGCTACTGAACCAATCCCTTCCCTTCTAGTGCTGTTTTTCCACTGAAGTTAAACTTGTTATGACTTCCTCTAGATGAGCCTTTTGTGGTTTATATTTTCTCTTAGGTTTCTCCCTGGTTTTTTTTTTTTCTGCCTGCTGCTTTGCAAGTGCTTTTTTTGTGTCTCTAGCTGGACATAACTCCTTGCTTCAACCCCTGCTTCCCTTGTGCCTCAGCACAGGCAGCTCCCCCAGGCCAGGCAGCTGTGGCCAAGGTCAGCCCTCTGCACCAAGGAGTGCTTACGTGTACTTCAGCTACTCACGTGCTAATATAGCCAGAAATAAGTTGTAAAATATTAGTAGGTATCACTGAGGCTTGAGAGATCTACCAGATGCAAGATTCAACAATATAGAAACAGTAGTGAGAGACAAGTGAAGTCTAGCAGCAGGATTAAAGAGAAGTATCTGTATTATATGGCAGCTGCCAGAAGTGACTCCTGTACTTCTGCAAGATTGTTGGGAAATATCAGAGGTTGTGCAGGTAGAAACACCACAGATCATCACCTAAATGAAGGGCAAATTAAGTATTTCAGCTTTAACACACCTTTTTTATGAAAAACTCAGAACACTAATCACAGCCTCATTACTCCTCCTTGTTGCAATTAAAACCTTAAACACATAAATCCTTTAGCAACTCAGTTTTTCCCCTCGCTTTGGCTGGAAATTTTCCTCCCCATGTATTGATACATCTTTTTCCAGCCTGACTTTGTGATTTCCTCCCACTGAAGTCACACTATGAGTGCACAGAAGGAAGATCTGGAAAAACATCACTAAACTCATTAGGCATTCAGAACTTATCATTTAAGATGAGAATGCAAATCACAAGATTTTAATAGACTGTTTATATCCTAAAAATCTGCTTACTTTTAAAGCTAAAGGGCAAATAAATACAAATATAAATATAAATGCAAATTTCTCAGGTGTAATTCCACATCCAGGATAAGCTAGTAACCCAAAATTGTTCTTCTAAAGCTAGGAATTTCTAAAATGGAAAGAGCTCTTGAAACAATACTAGATTCTTGACTAAATCACCAGTCCAGCATGAACATCTGGAGGCCAGAGACCATCTCCAGGTGTGCTGAGTCCTCTGCAATCCCTTCCCCAAGAGGCTCTCTTGACCAGGGCCCTCCCTCCCACTCCAAATGCAGCCTCACAGGCCACAATCAACACCACACACCCTGCAGGAAAGGCTTCTAGAGCAAAGGCCTAGAAAAAAAAATCAGTAAAATAAAAAAACAAGAGCAAAACCCAACAAGCTACACAGTAGCATTCTGCTTTCAAAGGTAGGGTTATTAGGAAGAGGAACAGAGACTTAATCCTGCAGCTGGGTTTTATTTTCCTGTCTCTTCTTTATCTGTTTTCATATTTTAATACAGTAACACCTACTTAATTTCTGCACAGACTCATGCTGCAGAAGTTCTCCCAGCACCATGCTCCTGGACAAGTCAGGCTTGTTACCTCCTGGGTGAACACACCTTTCTCAGCCTGCCTTAAAAACCCTGTTGCAATTGCTTCAGTGGTGCACAGAATCCCAGAATCACAGATTGGTTTGGGGTGGAAGGAACCTTGACCACCATCCAATTCCATCCCATGTGATGGAAGGGAACCTTCCACTAGGCCAGGCTGCTCCAAGTCCTGTCCAACCTGGCCAAAAACATTTCCAGGGATGGGGAAGCCTCCCCTATTCTGAATATCTTTGTCAAAACTGTAACAACATTCACCTAAGGGTTCAAAACACCCATGGGAACACTTGCCAGTCTCACTATTCCACTCTGAGCTTGATTTTGTAAGCTCTGCACAATACAGGCCTGAGGATTTCCTTCTGTAGAATTCTTGAATACAAAACAAAATTGAACCATTGTTGAGTGAATTTTTTTCAAAGAGAAACATTTTCACATAAATATGATACTGTACACAAACCGACCATTAAATTAACAAAACCCTCCCAGTTATGGTAAGAGAACCATTCATTAATTCACTCAGAAGGGAGGGTTTAGATTAGATATTGGGAAGCAGCATCAGTCACCATCCCTGGAAGGGTTTGAGATGTTTGGAGGTGGGAATGGTCAGTGCTGAACACAGCAGTGCTGGGGAAGGGTTGGACTTGATGATCTGGAAGTCTTTTCCATCCTAAATGATCCTGGGACTCTAACCACACACCTGCATTCAGTTTGAATGCTCTGGACTGGTCCCAGTGCCACTGCTGGCTACTCTGACCATCTGATTGGAGGAATTACCCAAATTTTCACAGCAGCACAACCCTAAGTGCATTTGTATCAGCTTAACAAGCTTCTGTATACAAAAAGAATCACATGCTTTGGAACAGGCAGTATCACCTGAAATACTGTAGCCAGTAAAACACCCCAATTTTCATCAAAAAGGTGCAAAGTGCACAGTTTGCCTTGTCTGGGATGGCTCCCACTCGGATAACAGCTATGGAAAGGCCAAGGTTACAAAGCTCTCTTCTAACAGACCATACTACCTTCAGAGGTAGCCTAATATTAATTGGGAAAAGAACAGCTACTTGACTAAGAATAACCTCCCCTAACCTACCAAAATCAAGTTATTACTGTTGCCATTAAGCTGTGCAACAACCAACAACAACATTATGATCCAATTCTAGTTCAAGGGGAAACCTCCTTCATCATCCCAGTCTAGGTAAGTGAGACTAATGAAAAAATAGGGAATAACCTTCAAAATCATAAGAAGAAATGCCATTTTTTCCCCACCCTATCAGGCAAAACTGGGGAAGAGAGGAAAAATAAGCCAACAGAAAAAAATCAGCTTAACTTGCAGCAAAGGAGACAGGAGTGTGTATCACACTACCAGCTGTGGACACAGCAGAATAAGCTACACAGAAAAACCCTGGAGCAATCTTTAACTGCTTCTTATAGAAGCTACTTGGGAAGCTGTCCTTTGAGAATGATCTGGACTAGCTTAGCAGCAGTGGCAAAGCTCAGGCTGGCAGGTGACACTGCCTCTGCCACCCTGCAGTCACATCCCACCAGTTACTGTTTCATATCTAGTGAGAGCTCTTCCTGTGCCTGTCATCCTGATCCCTGTAAAATTATACTGTGGACCTTTCTGAAAAAGGTTGTGTGGTTTTGCTGTGGATGGCTCTGCCTATGATTTGGGCCATGCTTTATGAAAATCCAGGTACAAATAGGAAGATTGGTTTTTTAACAGCTGGAATCTAAACAGGCAAATGGTTAGGAAAAAGGGTTAGAAAAACTGGAAGCTCCTACTCAAACACAAAGCTTTAGCAGATAGACAGATACACATCAGGGTATTGCTTCCTTTCCTGCTTCAGCTCTGATTCATGTTGCTTTACCACAGAGAGGGATGCCAAGCCTACATATGAAATAATACACGAAACACCACTTCCAATTCAGGTTTGGGGGAAAAACCCCAACACAAATCTACTATTTGTTGTCTTCTAACTGAAGACAGTTGTCAGAATAGAACCAGTAGGAAAAATGGAGAATAAATCACCAGGCAGATGCTTCACCTGCCTTACTGAACAGAAGAGATGTGACAAAGCAATGCAGCACATATGAGTGTGCAGATTTTTTTCTCTGCCATTACACAACAGGATAAGACAAGAAATTATTCTTCAAACACCTTGGGACTGAATGTCACCAATCTTAACTTCACAAGCACAGAACGGAGAGTGTTTCGAATTCTGAATTTAGCGAATTCAAAGCTCTTGCTTCATCTTACAAGTTAACTGATCTCTATATTACCAATATTCCCAGCACAATCTCCTCTCCTGTTTCTTGTCTCTCACTGGAAGAAATTATGAAACCTCCCCTACTGTTTGGGGAAAGCCATCACGGGAAACGCTATTTATCATGTGCCATTTCACCTATAGCTCAAGAATCATCAGCGCCCTATGCTTAACCCTCTTCGGGGCTGCTGGATCATCCCGGTCTATAAATAACCCGAAATAAAAGCACACTGCAGGCACAGAGAGCAGGTCAGCAGAGGCTGAATTTCCGCTGCTATCATGCCCAGAGGCGGCTGACGCTACCTGCAGTGTCACAGGTGAGGCCACAGCCCTCCCTCACCGCGGCCCTTGGCGCATCCTCAGCCCTGGGGAGCACCGGGGATGGAGCCCGCTGCCCTTGGGGAGGGAGGACACAAGGCAGGTCGAAGGCGGGGGAAGCGATCGCTCCCTCCGCCGCATCCCCTGAGCGCGGCAGGGCCCGGCCACAGCCGGTGCCCGCAGGGGAAGGGAGCGGGACATGACTCATGGCTTTTGTCCGCCCGCGGGCGGCGCTGCCGGCGGAGCGGGGCCCCGGGGTGGCGGAGCGGGACCCCGGCTCGGTGCGGGGTGCGCGGCCGGCACGTGGCCCGCGCTGCGCCAATGGCAGCGACCGCGACCATAGAGCGGGGCCGGGCGCTCCTGCACATCCCGCCCGCCGCCCTTCTCGCCGCTGCCGCCATCTTGCTGCAGGCAAAGGAAGGAGCCCGGTCACAGCGCCGGGCCCGCGCCTTCTTCCCGCTCACCGGAGGCGCTCCCGACCCCGCCCTCCCGCGCCGGGCCCGCGGTTACCTCTAGTCTGCCCGCAGCGAAGCCTAGGCTGGGTACGAGGCCGACGGCCCGGCCGCCATCTTGGTGCAGCAGAGGGGATGTGCGTGACCTACAACATGCGGGCGGCCCCGCCCCGTCCCAGCGGGTTGCTATGGGGACGGGGCGAGCGCGTGCGCGCGGGGCCCTGCACCGCCCGGGGGGCGTGGCCTTGGGCGGGGCGGCCCCGCCCCCTCGGCCGGCCGTGCGCGCGCGGGAGCGGAGCTCGGGGCCGGCGGCTGCGGGAGGCGCTGAGGTGAGGGACGGACCCTGCCCCGCCCTGGGAGCGCGGGGTCCCACCGGGCGTGAGGGGACACGGCGGGCAGCAGCGCTGGGATGGGTCTGTCCTTTCCAGCCGGACCCCCGAACCTGAGGGGTTTGATTGAGATGGGGTGATGGCGAGGAGGGAGCGGAACGATGAGCGATGTGGGCAGGCTGGGAGGGTGAGGCGCCCTGGCCGCCCTCCCAGCGCGGGACTTGGTGCTCGTGTGGCCGCCATGGGACCCCCGGGCGGGCGCCCCTCCCACGGCGGGCAAGGCAGTCTCTTCTGAACATGCTCTCGTAGAAAACTCCACCGCGCTGTAGAGACCGGAGGGTGAGGAACATGTCCGACCAGCTCCCGAGAAAGTCTGGGCTGCTTCCATGCACCCGAACCCCGATCTCAGCCCGCAGCCCCCCGTGCGCTGCCCTGGGCTCGGGTTTGCGGGCCTTGGCCTTCGGGTTCGGCTGTGCTCCCGCCTGTGTGGGAGCGCTCAGACCTGGCGGGAACGCTGTGGGAAACATCATTCCTGAAAAGTTTCTGTGCTTGTTCTCTGTGTTAAAACATAATGTAGCTGTAGCCGTCTGCATAACTCTGCTCGCTGCTTCGTTTCCTCAGTAGCTGTGAGAAACTTTCCTCGTCTCTTAGCCCTCCTCTGAGAAATAGTTGGGTGACAGACAAGTCTCGCAAATTAAAAGAATGTTCCTCTGTGTTCCAGCAGGATCTGGTTTTGTTTGGCATTGAAAACCTCTCATGGAGAATGCTTAAGCAGGAATCAATGACATCACTGGGCAGGAAACACTCTTGGAAGGAAGAGTTGCTATCAGAGCAATCTCACATGATAACAGGCTCAAGTTCTTTGCTAGCTGAATACATCACAAGTCATACATTGTTTTGTGGACTGAAATGCAGATGTTGCAGATACTAGATTTTATTTTTATCTTGCAATTTCACTTGAGAACCATGTTATCCAGTTTTTATTTCGTGCCAGTAACCAGGGTGCCAGATTTTTCTCAGCAAATTTGGCTTCATGAGAAAGGACACCAAACTGCTTCAGTGTTTAACATCTTCAGTCTGTAACTCCCATCAAACCCTAATGAGGTTAAATTTGTGTAAACATGCACCTGTATGGTAGCTTTGAGAAGAAAATCCTGGAAATCATCCCCACATTGAAACAACTTTACCTTGTGCCTGACACAAAAAGTTGGGGTTCTGCTGTCTAACGCTGGGCAGTTTGTTTTGATTCCAAGATGTCTCTTTGCTGGGAGGAACAGATTCAAGGGTGCTGCAAACTGAAGCAGTTTGGTGTAGTTTCACACAAATTAAGCTTGCTGACAAAATCTGCTTGGAAGATGGAAAGAATTATTAGTGATAATTTAAAATCCGTGGAAATAAAGTGAGAGTGAGCTAGGTAAGAGGTGGCTGAGGGCTTTGGAGTGGGAACTGATACCTTGTGGTAAGAGGGTGAGCCAGGGCAGGGACTGGAAAGGGGAATTGAGCTTTTATCACTTGCAGATACAGCATATGCAGGCATTTTTATGTTGCCACAGTAAATCACATGTTCTCCTGAAATCATGCAAGCTAGTGGTTGGTGAGTCTTTGTTAAGAGATTTTTTTGCACTGCAGTGTTAGATAAGAAATCTTCAAACATTCTTTTTTTTGTGCCTGTTTTATATTTCACATGCAGCTACATATGAAAATTTTATATTGGTAAACAAGAGGTGGAATGACTGAGTTTGCAAGCATCTAGATAAAAGAGGAAGAGAAAAAGTTTCATTTTGAAGCTGTGAGCTCTTCACAAAACACTCAAGCATGGATGGAAATGTTGAGAAGAAAGAGACTTGAAAAGAAAAATAATACATGAATTAGGGTTTTTTTTGGCTTTGAAGAAACTGTTTTCTCTAAAGAGCAAGGTGTTTTTAGAAAGGTGCTTGGTTTGGTGAGTTTTCAGAAAGGATGTGGACTTTGAGGGCTGCAGAATGGTTTGTCACACACGTGCTGCCTTCAGCACCCCACATTCACGTTGCTTGAATTTCTTGTCTGACTGCATTTATAGGAGCAATTGTAGCTGAAAATTCTGCCCCTTGTTAGTACAGAAAAGTCAAATACTTGTGCCCTGTGAAGAAGCTGACACTGTTTCAGTCTGGACAGCCAGTCAGGGATGCTTCTTTTTTAATTTATTGCGCAACAGCAGATATTGCACTGGTTTGTGGGTGAGTTTTTTCCTCATACAATTTTTAACAAGCTGATAACCATTATTATTTTTTTCAGATTTTTTTCCTGTCCTTGCCTAAAAATGTCCAAGGTAAGAACATTTCTGTCTTCCAATGTAACAATGGGAAATGCATTTTTTGTTTTTAAATATTAATCCTCAGTGACAAATTGTGCAACTTGCATCTGTTTGATGATGAAGGTTATTTGAAATTTACTGTCTATAGGAGACACAATATTGAAAGATGAGGGATGTAAGACATAGTTTAAAGTAGTTTCATGCAAGTATAAATCTCTGCAGTTAACTAATACTCTTGGAAGGATTTAATTTTGGTCAGAGTTGTATAAAAACTCACTGGTGCATCTTCATTAAAACTTCCTTTCTGCAATTTTGTTTTGAGCAGGCATCATTTAAGAAAATGGTGGGTTAGATTTAATTACTTTCTTTACTAATAGAATCAACCAGTTTTCCAATAAAATATTATTGTCATGCTGGGATTCATCTCATTCTTGGCCCCCAGCATTTGCTATGATGGGTAAAACACCCATGTTGGTTTATTGGAGAGAAATGAGCAATAAAGGATGTTTGAGTGATGTGTTTGAAGAGGGAACTAAGAGATGTAAAGATTTCTCTGCCATATCTGTAGCAGTGAGCATTCTATTGTGTAAATTCCCCTTCCCCACGCTTGATGAGAGCTCTCTGAAGAGCATTTCCATCAGATGGCTTTCACTTCACAGCTTGCTCAGGGTTTTGCTTTGGATGTGCTAAAAAAGGATCAGGAATGGTCATCTTTTTATTCAAGTCCATAAAAAACTGTTTTATTTTAACTGTGTGTGAAGACTGCTCAAAAAGTTATTAGTGCATACTTTGTCATGCTTTGATAAATAATTATTTGGGATTTTGTTTCTGTTTCACTTAAAGTGATCTTGGCTGGATATCTGAACAAGTAAAGTTTTGTTTTTAAGCTCTAGGTCAGTGTAGTTGTTCTGCACTTCTCTGTGAAACCATTGAGGATTAGGAACCTCTGATTAGTTTCCTCTCTGTCCCATAGCTTCAAACCTTTTGAGTTAAGTGAGGAAAGCAGTTATACAAACTACTAAATCTTGACTGGTTGCTTATTATTGTCTTATTTTATTTTTTTTAATTTCATTTGTAGCAACAGCCTGCTCAGTTTACCAACCCAGAAACTCCTGGCTATGTTGGATTTGCAAACCTTCCCAACCAGGTTCACCGAAAGTCTGTGAAAAAGGGGTTTGAATTTACTCTGATGGTGGTTGGTAAGGAAACATTTTGTAGTTTTTCTCACAATTAGTGCTTGCTCACAGGGAATTTGAAGTTAAATCAAATGTTACTTGCACTGTTCTAAGGCTTTAGCTTGCATCAAAACTTTCCTTTACTGTTGAATTTAGCTTTCTTTTATATTTTGTTGATTCTTGCAGCAGTTGTTTACCACATTAAAATCATGCTTGAATACATTAATAAGTTTGTTTGTGGGTGAAGAAAGTTTATTGTGCACTCCAGCAATCATTCATTCCTTCCTTCCTTCTCCCCTGTCTTACAGGATTCCAGCACTCCGTTTCAAATATAATTTAAAACTGGTTTTGCATTTGAATACTGTCTTAGTTCATTTATGTGTTTTGATTAAGAGACTTGTATTAAGCCGACCATTCTATTTATAATGTTATTTATGCTTCTTTAGTTCAAAACAATCTGACCTCTATCTTTTCAACTTTCCAAATACTCTTGTAAAAGAGTGAGAAGGACTGAGAATTGGATCAGTTGGCTTTGATGTCAGCTGTTACTTTTTAATTTAATCATGATTTTATGTTAGCAGCTGTAACCTAAAGTGTTATTCTATTTGATAATTCATTGGGAGTCTTGATAAAAAATCTGGGAGTGTTGATAAAAAATCTGATGTCTGCAGAAATACCTTGATCATTTGAGAAATGGGTTGAAAATTATTCTTGCAAATTAAATAGACTCCCAATTCAAATAGACTTGGGTGTTTTCTCTGTCTCTCTGTGAGCCATAATTTGTGAGTTTTGGTGTTTGAACTCTGTAATTCTTTGGTTTAAATAGGCTTTCACAAAAAGTACCCTAATAGAATTAGGCTCTTCATTACCTGGCCCCACAAGAAATAAATCCCATTTATGTGCTAGATTTGCCTAAGAGAGATCACAGTGGGAATGAGCAGGAGAGGTGAGATAGTGATGATGATAGGAGGTGTTTGACTTCTTAATGGTTTTGGATTTCAGTAGTTACAGGGAGAGCCTGTCCTCAAACCTTTCATTAGTTTTGCCAAATGACAGCCCTAGCACTGCTTTTGTTCTACTTCTGTATTTTGTTCTTCAGTGTTGTTCAGAGTTTGCCCTTATCTTTGTGCTCCTATAATTTTATTGTAGTTTTTTACTGTATGTTTCACTGGTTTTGATTTGGATGATGCCATAAAGAATATCTCATAAAATCCAAGAGTAAAACCAAACCATAAGTAGCTGCTTCAAATTATTCTGTCTACTCTGACTCTTCAGAATTTACTGTTCAGTGATCCTAAAAGTGTGAACAGTTTTGAGAAAGAAAAGATCTGCTTTCTCTAAACTTCCAGATCTCTTTGAATTCTAAT